CGACATAAAAGCATAGTAAAACTTAAGCTATTACCAAATAACTTTTCTTCGGAAAGCGCTCTCTGCGAAGTTGCATGACCTTGAAACAGAAGGTATTGAACAAGGTAGTCAGGCAGCATTATTGGCTGTCCTCCAAAATATCTCAAAGGACGCGATGGTTTAAACTTATCCTAAATGTTACTCTAGTGGGCCGCAAAAATGTTCAAGTTTGGCTGGTAGGATTTACTACATGAAGAATTTTGGGACGGAAATGTTGTGTAAAAATATTGATGAGGAACTCATTTCTTCTTTCTATAAATACACACACTATGGGAACTGACAACGCTACGGCTTTAGTTTTGCTGCAAAACTCTACATCAGTTCATAGTTGCGGTAATAGCACAAATCGCGCTTTATCGGTCTCTTAAAGAACTAGGGAAGATCGGTAAATACGAAAAAGACGTGATAAATATAATTTGTGAAGTAAATGGGTGAAAAAAACACATAACAACATTTACCATAAAGTTGATGCTTCGATCAAGTATCAAGTCGGTTCCCTCTACAGTTTCTACTTAGGTATAAGAGGCATCAAGCAAAATAAGTATGACCGAATACATTTTGGTGATCACGATTTGCATCAAGTCTCAGATAGGTATGTGGTGGTGGCAGCTCCTTACTGTTGCAGCAGCCAGTCATCAAAATCTGTTAACCGCATAGCTTCGGCACAAAAAACCCCGCTGTTACTGTTGTGTGAGTGACCTTAAAGGTGAGCGCGAAAGTTCATTTCTTGTACCCACCTGACTGCAAAAAACCTTGAAGCATGCAGTAGAAAACTCACGGGCCCGACTGCCAGCAATCGGTGCCAACCGTCACAGAATTTCATACTTTGGGCGTACTTCGTTCGAATTATCACGCTGATTGGATAAGGTGAGGGCTTCTAAAACTACAGTAGTCACTGGACTTTACACTATTGTTTAGATGGTCTCTCGGGTCTCTTTGTAACCTTGTCAGTCGTCACTGGTTCCACGTTTTGATAGACAAAGCCAAAATTGCTTCACAATAGACAACTGATGCATGTTTCAGCCAGCTACTCAGTAGCAAAAATAAGGAGTTCAAGACTAGCCAGAAAACATTTCACATGATAAAGTCGGCCGGATTAAAACAGGAAGTAATTGTTATGAGCAAGGAATCACCACATGAATACGGATAATGCAGATGGTGTCGAACAGAGAAGGTAGACTGAGAAAATAGCCATTGCAAATTGACTCACTACCTCTAGTCAACGGTGCGCTTTAAGGAGCTGCGCAAAGTCCACGCATATTGGGGCTGTGATGACAAGCCTGGGTACAAGCTCACACCGCACTCACAACCACTTGTGCCCAATTCCAGCACAAGAGGACTGATAGACACGAATATCGGACTAATGCGCGGGAGAAAGACAGACGGTGGTTGATGTAACGCATTCCACTACTATAAGAAAGCTGACGCGTTCTCAAAAACAAATCAAAACGTGCTTAAAATCTTGATTTGTAAGGTTGCCAACGGTCTGGACAAATCGGTCCTTTCAGGATGAAGAGTTAAGCTGCAGTAACTCAGCCTGAATGTGGCCTTTATGACATTCACATGCAGGTGGCATCCTAGCCGAAAGGTTGTTTCTGGGAGCACCTGTTCCATCTTGCAGGGACCGAGTCGCGTGTGGCATGCGTAGACGGGCATTTAGCCCTAC